CAGCAGGAAGTCGTTTCTTCTTTAGAGCTCCAGCTAAATCCAGATGACTGTTGGCCTGGGATATTTTGGGGGATGACACATTGGAGGTGTTTGGCCACCAGGTTCACTTCCAGCCTTGTGGTTCTAAGGATGGGCCTTTGCCAAAGAATTTACAATGGAGGGAATCCAGGGCAATCATACTGTGTTAATGATGGCAACTTATTGAACTTGGGATACAAGAGGTAAGGAGTCAAAGATGGCACTGAGACTCTCAGTCTGGAGATATTGGTGCCAATGAAGGGAAAAACTGTAATTCAACAGAAATGCTGGTTTGTAGGCAAACTTTAAATCATGGTTAGAAATTCTGAGTTTAATGTGTTAGTGGATTACACAGGAGACATCCAGAAGGTGATTATATTCAGGCAGATATGGAGCTTAGGAGAGGCTGAGTTATGTCATTCCCATTTGTTAGAAAAATCCACACCCCTCTCTATAGTAGGTAGAGATATCCAAGAAAAGTATGAGTAACTCTTCCCTAATAGGTCATGCACATCCATCTTTATGAAATAATTAGCCTCAGTATTAAAAAACATAGAACAATTTTCAGATCATTATATCAGAAGAACAAGAATGCTCCTTGAAAGTTGTAATCTGTATTTTGATTGAGGACCATATAGTGTATTTTGAAAAGCTTTATTTAGACTATGTGATAACTTAATACATATTAATAAAACTGGTTTCTGATGTGTTTTAAAAATCATGCTTAAAAGATGCCATCAGTGAATAGTATATTTAGCTATACTTTTATATTATATAGAATGTAGGTATTATAGTTTCATTACCTAGATGAGAAAAACAGAGGCCAAGAGTGACTTTATTGCTTATAGAGCTCAAACTTGAATCCCTGTCTTCAGAGCCTGAGTGTGGAGCTCTTTCTCCAGCATTCTGCTTCAGCGAGCTGTGAGTCACCAGACTGAGACTCCGCCCTACCATGGGACTGATCAGCTGGCTGCTCATTGGTAGTGAGAATGTCTACCACTTGTCCTTGACTCAGTTGTGGATCCCCCTGCCCCCAATTCTAGTTGCAGTGCTTACTGCTTGCTACCAGGGAGCCTCATGGTAAAACTGCAGGTTAATGATGACTGTACCAGCCAGAGTTTCTTGGATGGCCTGATAAAACCCACTCCCCAATACAAGGCTATCGCAGCAATAGGTCGTTTTTTTTTTTTTCCCTTCTACTAGTCATAATGTTCACTGCGAGAGCAGCTAATGGGTAGTCAAGTGCAGAGGCTTGGGATCTGGGAGAAAATGAGCTGAACAGGGAACCATGAATAAGCTGTTAAAGCCAAGTGGAAATGAGAAGTGGGGGTAATTTGGAGTGGTAGATGAAGAAGGCATTGGGGAGCACTGAGACAACACCGGGTTAGTTTTGTGCGAATGCAGTTTCAGGGGAGCATTTGCCCAGCTGCAGCATTACAGCATCCCTTTTTGTACACTGGATTTATTTCAGTGGGGAAGGAAGAAGGGAGGGGCCATAAGAATAATGGGGGGCTGCAATGAATTAGGAATGTTTTGGAAAAGTAATTTTCTGTCTTATATACTCGACAAAAGCACCTGCTATAACTTCACAATATTTTCTGTGAAAGCTAACCTTTATTTGCTATACAGGAAAGGTTGGCCAGTTACTGCCCAGCACTCACAGAAGGTAGAGATTGGGTCAATTTTTACTCAAGAGGACTGTGCCTTGCACTGGAAAGCTGAAGGAATATAGATTCAAGGGCTTGTGGTATTTTTTTCACTTGCAATTTTTGGAACCATAATTCAGTACTACTGGATTAGGGCATGTTCTATCAAACTAAGAATCAAAAGCTTTCCTATGGGGAAAGTATTAATGTTATAGCTGAAAGAGGTGACAGCCGAATTACTGCCATCAAAAATAATTTATTAACCGTGTCTGTGCAAAATACTCTGGTAGGCACCACATCCCAGGGGCTTCCTGTTTCAATACATCCTTCTCTCTTTGCAGTCTTTTCAGTGTACCATTCGGCTCTTCACCTGTGAATAAAATGGATACCTTGAAAACTTCATCTTTGGGGACACAATTACAGGCCAAGAGAACGCTGTTTTCATCATCAGCGCCAATTATACAGTGCAGGGAAGGTGTTTTAGGAGGCTGCCATCCTCAAACTCTCTTTCTTGGAGCTTGTAAAACATCTTTCCGGTTTCCACTTTAGATCAGGAAATCCGGGAAGAGTCGACTAGAGAGGTTTTGCACCATCAGCATAAACCACGCTGATGCTGGCTCTCTACCCCTTCATCCTTCCTTCTTAGGCTGGTCCCCTAGTCCCTCAGGCGGGTCCCACACTGCACCTGAGATATAGGTACACAGGTGCCTCTCTACCCAAAGGAAGAGAAAGGAAAGAATTATGGATACCAACCCAAATCGTTTTAAATGTTACCTCTCACAATCAGTTACCTTGTGATGTGTGCACCTGTGTGTACATCTACATTTAAAGACAATACTTTTTAAAAAGGTAAGTTAGCACACGTCGGCTAAGAGGTATCTGCCAGGTGTAATTGCACAAAGGTCTGTTTCACCAGCATCTCTCTTAGCAAGTCGGAGGGAACGGGCTCTCGATCCAGCAGTGCTCGCTGCCAGGCGGGGAAGGGCACAGGCACCCCCCCGCACGCGCACACGTCCCTGCTCTCTCGCCCCGCAGCTTCAGTCTCTGACCCCACTGCATCCACACAGGAAAGGGGCTCACAATCGGTGGATCGGGAGCTGCTTTTGCCACACACTTCCAAGCGAGCGTTTGCTTGGATCATTTATCTTGTACGCGTTAAGAAACCACCATTAGGTGTTGGGGGGAGGCGCTACTCTGCCTGAAGCCCAGCCAGTCCGTGGCGGCTCCGCGCACACCGCACCCGCCTGGCTGCCAGCGCCCGCCTGGAGCCGCCTCCCGCCCGGGGTCCCGGTTCCCCCGGATCCCGGACGCGGTCTCTCGTTTCACGTCTCCCCCTTCAAGTGCGACCGGACAGGGGCGCCGGGCAGTGCTTTCGAATCTTCTTTGGCTTGCGGGGTTCCCTCCGCGGCGGGTCGGAGAGCACCCGCCGCGGGCGCCCAGTGCGTCCTCGCTGGAGTTTGACTCTCGGGCAGCGGCGCCGGCGCGGAGTCTCAGGCGGCGGGAGCTAGGCGAGCCCGGCCGCTTGCCCTCCGCACTGCGCTCGGATTGGTCTCTCCCAGATAGTGCTAGCCGAGGGTTGGCTGCGGGCCGGCTGAAGAACAGGTGCACCTTACCGCCCGGACTCGCGGAGCAGCCGCCGAGGAACGCGGCGCGGCGGGCCCGGCGACCTGCAACGGCCAGGCCAGCCCCCCTGTGTCGGAATGCGGCTCTCTGGCACCTGGCGTTCCGCGGCCGGCCCGCTAAGCCCCTGAAGGCGGCGCGAGGCCCAGGGGCGGCGCGGGCGGGCGTCCCGGGGAGCTGGCCGGGTGCAGCGCCCCGAGGATGCCGGCGCGGCTGGAGCGCATGCAGTCGGCGGGCGGCGGCAGCAGCAGCGGCGGCAGCAGCAGCGACAGCGGCAGCAGCAGTTCTGAGACGGAGGGAGAGGACGACGGCCAGGGCGGCGGCGGCCGGAACTGCAGCGCCTCCAGCTCGAGGGCCTCCTCGTCGTCCTCGTCCTCGTCCTCGTCCTCGTCCTCGTCGTCCTCCTCGTCCTCGTCGTCGTCCTCGTCGTCCTCCTCGTCCTCGTCGTCCTCGTCGTCCTCCTCGTCATCCTCGTCGTCCTCCTCGTCGTCGTCCTCTTCGTCCTCGTCCTCTTCCACCACGGACGACTCTTCCTGCAGCTCAGACGACGAGGCCGCCCCTGCCCCGGCAGCCGGGCCCTCTGCCCCGCCGGCCCTCGCCAGCAAGGCGCCCAAGCAGGCGGCCAAGGCCCGCTCCTCGGCCCACTCTGCAGGCAAGAAGGCGCCGGCGCCCGCGCCCCGGGCCCCCCCGCCGCAGCCCCCGCAGCCTGTGCAGCCCAAGGCCCCGGCCGGGGCCAAGAGCCGGCCCAAGAAGAGGGAGGGCGTCCACCTCCCCACCACCAAGGAGCTGGCTAAGCGGCAGCGCCTGCCGTCGGTGGAGAACCGGCCCAAGATCGCCGCCTTCCTGCCAGCCCGGCAGCTCTGGAAGTGGTTCGGCAAGGGCAGCAGACGTGGCTGTGCGTGGTGCCTCTGTTCATCGGCTTCATCGGCCTGGGGCTCAGCCTCATGCTGCTCAAATGGATCGTGGTGGGCTCCGTCAAGGAATACGTGCCCACCGACCTGGTGGACTCCAAGGGGATGGGCCAGGACCCCTTCTTCCTCTCCAAGCCCAGCTCCTTCCCCAAGGCCATGGAGACCACCACCACGACCACTTCCACCACGTCTCCAGCCACCTCCGCCGGCAGCGCCGCCTCTTCCAGAACGCCCAACCGGATTAGCACCCGGCTGACCACCATCACGCGGGCGCCCACTCGCTTCCCCGGGCAGCGGGTGCCCATCCGGGCCAGCCCGCGCTCCACCACGGCACGGAACACTGCGGCCCCCTCGACGGTCTTGTCCACGACAGCCCCTTTCTTCGGTAGCAGCACTCCGGGCTCCCGACCCCCGGTGCCAGGAACTCCCAGTACCCCGGCCATGCCCTCCTGGCCCACTGCGGCATACGCTACCTCCTCCTACCTTCATGATTCGACTCCCTCCTGGACCCTGTCTCCCTTTCAGGATGCTGCCTCCTCGTCTTCCTCCTCCTCGTCTTTCTCCTCTACCACCACCACGCCAGAAACTAGCACCAGCCCCAAATTTCGTGAGTAAACACTGTATCTGAACTCTGATTTACTGCTGAGTTTCCATTCTGCCCTCCTGCTGTCCTTTCCCCTCGCCAACGCCTGTCTTCTAGCATCCTTCACCCCCACCCCCACCCCCCCCTCCATTCCAGGTTTGGAACACGGAGTGAGAGAATTAAAACTGGCCACAGGGGAGGGAAAAGGTGCCGGCCTTTTCCTGTGTGTGTGTGTGCGCGTGGAGGTAGGGGTGGTGTGAAGCAGAGGGAGATTGTCAGCCAAGCTCCACGGGCCCTACTTAAGTGGGTCCCAAATGAGAACTAACTCCCTTCAAGGGGTTAAAGCGAGTGCAGACCTGCTGGGGAGCTCTGGGATCCGGCTCCTGATGAGAGCTGGGGAGGGAGGGAGGAAGGAGGGAAAGCAAAGCTCATGTAAATCGACCGACGTTAAACCACGGAGGGAAGTTGTATCCATGTGGGGGTGGGCTGGGGTGTGTGTGTGATGATTTGGTAGAGATGTTGGTACGGTGAAGCTGTAGACACTTCCAGCAGCCCTGACCCGGGCAGGGACCAGGAAGGGTTAATTAGAAGCCATTGTGGGAGGGAGGGAAAAGA